TAACAAAGAACTGTAACTTATCTTACTGTCAGGACCCACCTCAACACCTCATCCCAAGAAAGCAGAACTCATGGAAGCAAGCTCTTCCAAAAGGAACTTTTATTAGGAGAAGCTGACTAGACAGGATCTGAGGAACTCCTGTACAGATCAATGGGTTAAGTATCCCCAAGCAAACCCCACCCCATAGTTCATCCGGACGATTCAAACCGGCCAATCCCCAGGTGTTAAGTCCATCGTGGGAAAGGGGAGATAATATCGGTCGACTCTGGTCATAGCGGCAATGTTTAAGCGGCTCTTCGCACCTTCTCTTGAGAGCGGAGAAATAAGCCAGGCTCTGGAGGTTGTATTTCTTTCTCCCCCACCCCTTTGCTAGCTGACAGGTTAGGGAGAAGAAAGTTCAGAGAGAGATACAGTGCAGGACCATGAAGTGTTACATTGCGGCAATAAAGGAAGCTAGGGTGAAGTGTTATATTGTAGAAATAGGGAAAGGAGGCAGGAAAGCAAAGCGCTACATTGTATCGATAGAGAAAGCTAATGCAATAAACCCGCGCTCCATCCCTCCTCCCCTCTAGGAGTATGGCAGAACCCAGGGAGAGAAGAGAATGGAATCGGGAAACGAGAGAAAGAGAGGCAAGGATGTATGAAATATGATAGATATGGGTTCTGACACATTAAAATAATGACTTTCTTTTTCAAAAAAAAGTATCTGTGAATATTATAAAATACAGGAAATAGAAGAAAACAAAAGTCTGAAGATACCATACCAAAAGTACATCCACACACTTGCTTGGACTAGCTAACACTGAAAATGGTGCAATGAACAAATCCATGTCACCCTATTTTTCTTTCCTGATTTTTGCTCTGATCACTGATTTCTTCATGTGGAAGCCAGTATTTAATTTTAGTGGGGAGGGGCTAATATTTATTTCATGAGCCTTATACACAAGTGGAAAAAAGTATTATAGCAAAGGTGACAAACAAGTACTGGAGCACATAATACCAGATATCACTAAAAGGTGAAACTGTGTCTCACTTACTTTGGCCATGCCATGTGGGGGAATTCCGTGGAGAAAGCAATTATATTTGGAAGAATTAGTGGTAAAAGGAAACCAGGCTGTCAAATAACACGATGGCTGGACACCATCAAAGCTGACACCAGCCAGAGCATAGAAAAAGACAAGGAAATAGTGCAAGATCGAAAGATCTATGGAGATTCTCAGTCATCCAAGTCATAGCTGTCCCAAAGGTGCTTTTTCCAAGAGGCAACTGGACTGTCTTGTTTTTCTTTGATGACATTTTGCCTCTCATCCAAGAGCTGTAGAGCTTCTTAGATGAGAAGCAAGACATCTTCAAAGAAATACGAGAAAGTCGGGTTGCCTCTTGGAAAAAGCACCTTTGGGACAAGATCAGAAGATATGGAGAGACCTGGCCCACAGAATTGCCAAGAATTCAGACTGACCGAATAAATAACATCATCATTATCATCATTCTTTATTTTGCTATTGTCATAGAAGTCCTCATTGTTGTTGAAGACTTGTATCTGTCTTTAAATGATGAAATTTTCACTGCAAATTATTTGTATTATTTATACTAATTTACATTACAAATTGAGTTCCCTGTATACCCAAAGCTCCCTTCTGCAATTGAGTGAAAGCAGGGCTGTGTAGTGAAAGTAGGGCTGTGTAGTGAAAGTAGGGCTGTGTAGTGAAAGCACTACACAGCCCTACTTTCTGATTTGTACAATCTAAATTTGTACAATGCTAAAAAGCCTATGCACAGGAATGTGCTTGACTAATGGTTAGCACTTTCCTGGAATCAGATAATAGTCAACAGAATTTCGGATGGGGAGATTGGATTTAGTCCACTTGTGGCTACATAGGGATCCCTCTTTTAACTCTGCCACTCTTTCTCCCACACTGGTTCTAAATTCTGCCATAGTCATTGACTCCATTTCAGTTTGCCATTTTTTCCCCGGGAAGTCCTCTTGAGTTTCATATTTAAACATATAACTTCGTTCCTCTTTTTGGAGTAGAAGACAACTGAGGCAGCAATGTAAATCTCACATTTGCAATTTTATATTTTGAGCGTTTCTTCCCCAATGGAATTGAACTGATTGTTTTTAAAAATAACTTTTTTCTTTCTAGCACGCAACTGAACAAAACAACAACAAAACTCTAGAAATATACAATTAGGTACCATTCATAGAAACACTNACAAAATCACCATCAGTCAATTGCAAAAGGCAGCTTCACTTGGAACAGCTTACATCCTGTGATAATATCTTTAAGAATTAAACAGCAACATGTGCCTATCCCAGGTCCTTGGGAAGGATTCAATAAGTGGACAAAAATGCTAACCCCAATCTAAACATCCGATTGACTGTTCAACCATAATTTATTAAACTTATATCCTGTCCAACTCTGAGTGACTGGAAAAACTGGTCCATAAGAACTGGGTATTTTGGAGAATTTAAACCATTCCCATGGTGGGAATTTTTTTATTGTAATGCATTTTGAACTCTCAGTGCTGGAAGGACAGACTGGAATATTTGATTCATCAGAAGGTTTACTTGACAATGAGAATTCTTGGGAGGGGTAGATAATATTTGCGTGCAAGATCTCCTTCAATAGTTCCTTCTGCAACATTTTCATATGTGCAAGCTAATTGTCTGGATACATAATCAGGCCTCAGTACCAATCAGAAATTCAGATAATTTGGGGGTGAACCTGTTTGGGTAAAGGGAGGCAGACATTTGAGTGACAAACAAAAGAGAAATAGAGACTGGCCAACTCAATTTGCTTTGGAATGGAAGATGTTGTGAAGCTCATTTGGAACCCTCTATCTTGAAACCTGTTTATGCTTATTAGAAAACAAATCAGACCACTTGATTCCATTACCATTAGTACAGCTTTAAAAATCGAAAACCTTAAAATGACTTAGAGCATTTTAAAATGAATCTCAGCCAATTAATTTTAGACTGAATTTATACACGTCATTTAAAGATAAGCCAGATCAGTATTCTATTTGCAAAGGATTTTAAGCAACAATCCCTAACTTTCAAATACCAATAAATGAGCAAGGATATGCCAAGTAATTAGAACATTAAGTAGCAACCTTAATTTAAAATAATGACAAAAGTAATTGCTTTTGAATGTTCCCTTGGTAAAATATTTCCTTCCTTTGCAAAATGGCTAAATGGAAAACAATAAATGCTAATGTAAAAAAAGTGGTAGATCCAGTTTTTATAGCAGTTATGGACAATCTTTAGAAACCTACTTAAATATTTTAAGTGCTTAAAAACCATAGTTGGATCTAGACAGGAAACCTCACTGCAATATACATTTATTGTTAGCCAGCACTGGGACCAGGCACTATCACAAAGTCCAGAAAGATTAAAATAGTTATCTTGCTCTACAGTCTTAAAAACAATTTTTTTTGTTCTTTATTAAATTACTTTCAGACGGATCAAAAAGAAAGTAACTCCTTTGCATTGTTTCCATTAACAATGGGAGTCAGATGGTGGTAAGAGAAAGAATCATTTCATTTCTCAATGTGTTCAAAGCTCAATTAATTAATTTTTGCCAGGAATATATCACTATTTTCTGATTATTCTGGAACAGAGAACAGGAAGATTAATCTTTTCTGCCCCATTCTAAAATTAAACAATTACTGGCATTGAAAAATAAACACTACTGTTAATTTAAATACCTTTGTTTCTGACTCAAATGTCCTCACTTATTGTTGCTTTTCAATATTCCTATGCTTGTAACTATAAAGAAGGACATACATTTAGACATGTGAAGGCTCAAAAAAAATCTGGGGAAATTTGGGAAGAGCATGGACAAGAGAAGATAGTTTTTTTCCCCCTTACTTTTCTAAGCCTTGTTTTCTAAATATATTATGGATTCTTTAATTCCCCCACAAATCAAAGTCTCAGTGTTTTTCTGTCATGGTTGTCATTTTAATACCACTGAGATCTTATCAGTCGAAAGGAAAAGAAGTTGATTTTTTTTTAAATGCAATCAAATGCAGGAGAAAAACACTTCCTAACAGCAAGACCAATTAGCTACAAAGGTTGTGGATGTCATGGGATGTTGAAACAGGGGCTAGACAATAGCATGGGAGAGGCTGTAACTTAGAACGTCCTATTGAGCAAGAATCTGGATTTGATGTTCTAAATTCAGCTCAGCAGATCAGAATCTACATATACTGGAATAAAGTATTTTTTGAAAGAAATCTAAACAGCAAGGATGGCCTACTAATAAATCAGCCTGGATACGCTGCCATAAGAAATTCTGTTCACCCATCATAAAATTGGAAAGCAACTAATTCATTGTTCTTTGTGCAGGAGATATTCTTTGATAACAGGAAAGAATGTTGTCACTCATTCTTGTGTCTAATCAAAATGAACCACATCATTTCTATTTCACTACTTTAACACCCATCTACCGGTGAGGAACCTTGTGGTTGCTTGAAAGTTTGTACAACCTTCTCATCTTCAAGACATTTTACAATTGTTATGAATGTTTTTCTTTATTGTCTCTCCCAGTAAAGGGTATTGCAATCAACACAAAAAAGCAAAAAAAAAAAAAGCACTCCAATTCTTTCCATGATAATTAAATAACCACTCTTTCTGGTCTTGGTGTTTATTATGAAAACTTCATGAAAACCTCTGTTAATCTTATCACTTCACCTGATCAATGATAACAACTTTGCATCAACCAACAGCTTCTTGCTTACATGAAACATACAATTAACCAGGCTAGCAAAGGATAGATATTTCTCAGATAAACTAAATTATCAGATATTGGTGAATCTGAGGCATTACTGCAATTACTGCACATATTACTCCTATCTGTTTGGCACTTTCAGTAGATAATCTACATAGTTACAAATTTCAAATGCTGATAAGTTAGTCCCTATTTCTGTTATAGTCCTTTTGATTGATTTGACTAAAAAGCAAAAAATCAGCTTCTTTGCTTCTCCTTTAAATTAGAGTAAAAAAGATTCAGCTATGACTGCTAATTGATTTTGTTTGTTACCTTTTTGAACCTTAATATTGTTTGCATCATGGTTGCCCTTCCCTCTCCTTCCCTTCCCTTCCCTCTTAAGTCTCTGCATAAGGTGTCAAAGAAACACATATGATTAACTTTCTAATGAACACCAATCTTGTAAAATGCCACTGTAATCCACTTTTACCATTAGCTGAAGTCAAGCAAAACTGGAGGTTAAGATAGGTACCAGGCTAGAAAGGAAGAAGCTGTGAGTTGAAGTCCTCCCTTAGCCATGAAAGCCAGCTAGGAGGTGATCTTGGGCCAGTCACACTCTCTTAGACCACCTTACCTTTCAAGTTTGTGGTGGTGGGAAAAATAAGTGAAAAAAGGTGTGTTGGGATATGTTTGCCACTTTGAGTTATTTGTAAAAATAATAAAGGTGGGATATACATAAATAATAAAAAATACACAATGCTACAAATTAATTCAAGTGGACCTATATGTTTATAATGCAGTGATACAGAGTATACTGAATATACCTCTCAACTCACCCTGATGTAAACAATATGAAGGGATATATTACTGTATATTCTATGTCAAATTCCTGATCACATATCACATTTCTAAGCAGTTACTTCTATTTCTACTATATATTAGGCTGTCCATTTTAAGCATAATCCCTCCTCTCCCCTTCCCCCCCCAGTTTCTCTTTTTCTAACTAATCTGGGCATTTCTAGAAACATTTAGCATTCCAACCTTGCTAGTAAAACTGGCTTGTTAATATATCTGTGTTAAGCCACTGCATTCAAATGCTATTAAGCTGTTTATTAACATTTGTAAGAGGTGGGATGCTGGGGACATGCTAGTAAACTGACTTGTTAATTAGGTTCCTCTTTCTGTGATTGCCCCTTAAAAAGCTGAGCCATAAGGAAAACATATTGAGTCTATAGCCTGCTTGGAAATGAATGGTTAATAATTTAATTTCTGTGAAGACCTAGTTATCACAAAAGTGTCTCAAACACTCATGACAGACTTGAAGGAAGTAAGCTAAGTATACACTCTCAAGGGACTTCCAAATGTATATGTGACATACAATCTACAAATGCCTATAACCTAATATTAAAGAAATAAGACAAATATAAAGAAATTAATGAAAGATACATAAGCAATTATAAAAGGGTGGGGGGTGTTTGAGCTTTATTATTCAAAGTTAAGCTTAACAACTCTCTCAAGTTGACTTATTTTTCCATTGTGGAAAGAAACAACCTGTATAGTCAGTGGTGGGATTCAGACAGTTTGCACCAGTTCGGCAGAACCAGTAACTAAGGCCCAGAATGGACTTTCAGAAGCGGCATCCTCACAGAGAACCATTTGTTCACATATTTGAATCCCATCACTATGTAGGGTGCTTCAGATCCAATTCTAAAAATGATGCTTTTGTATGTATGCACAGAAATAGCCCATGTGCAATTCTTTAAAACAGTCACAACATAGTCTTGATAATAACCAAGAGGTTTGCAGATAAAATTCTCTTCTGATTATTTATGAACATCTAGACTGAGCTTGCTTTGAAATCTTCACTGATGAATTGCTTTGAAACAGATCCTATCTTAGCTCTTGGGATTTCCTTTCTGAAAATAACAGGAATGGCTAGAGTTGCTGCTTACAATCAAGTACCATGCACAGGATTGATTTCATGCTTTCATCCTCTTGGTTAGATACACGAATCATAAATTATTCCCAGAATGGTTAGTGACATCTACTGTGATTGACCAGCGACAATGTTAAGAAAATCTTAGCTAGAAATAAGCTTGATAAGAAAGGGCATAAAAGAGAAGCAAGAATAGATCTCATATTCTAAGGTGTGAGGTTCTCCTCAACTATAACCCTAACAGGGTAGAGTTTTTGTTTTCTTTGTTTTCTAAACAAAGCCCTCTGGCAACAATCTTATAGTCTTTTCAATATCAAGTATCATGTGGTGATCTTTTGATTGCTTATTAGGTTCTTCTAAATCAATGCCAGTTTTAGTCTCTGCTCCTTTAGTTTATTCTTGTTTTGTACTGTTTTTACATTAATTTTTAATCCACACATTTATTGTATATTTCCCTGGCAGCTTTTGCTGTAGAGTGCGTAATAAATTTAGAAATAATAAAAAGTGAATTAAGAATTAAGTGAAATAATCTTCCTTCTCAACCTGACATCTACCAAAAG